AAAAAACAAAACACACACACACACACACACACACACACAGAAACTTCAACTTGAAGTATGCAGTGGCCCGGAGGCAGTGCGGGTGCAGACAGAACAGACAGCACTAGGCTCCCACCCCAGCTCTGCCAGGTGACACAGGGCAGGTTTCTCGTCTTGTCACTGGGGACAACAGCACTACCTGCTTCATGGGGAGAATGAGGGATTCAGGAGCTGATAACATACGAGCAGTGCTTGGCATAGGGCCTGGCACAGCCGAGACACGGGCACTGTCATTAATCGTATTATTCTTGGAAGATCATGCAGAGGCAGCATGGCATCCATGGGCCTGGGATGGAGCCTCTGTCTACCATTTATTTACTCCCTCCTGTGTAATCCCGGGGAAGGCACCCAACCTCTCTGAGCCTCGGTACCCTGATCTGGAGAATGGAGCCAATACTTTCCTACCGGGCTGCCGTGAGAATTCTCAGGAGCCAGCCCTGGATTACTTAGGCATTCCCCACGTGGGCGTTGGAACGATAACCAGTAACTATTAATATTAGCTCAATGATCCCGTCTGGAGGCCCAGGGTGAGCTGCACTGTGCCAGAGATTCCCCATCCCCTGCCCCGCTTCTAGCGGCCCCGCCTGGATCCCCGCGGTAGCTCACCCGGGAGTGTTCACCCAGATGATGTCCAGGTGGCAGAAGTAGACACATTCCTTGTCGAGCCAGGAGCTGCAGGAGCAACGTCGAGGCCGCAGGTGGGAGGCTCGGGCGCGGTGTGAGGGTGCTGGTTGGTCCGGAGCAGCAGCCACCTGGCCCTTGCCTGCACGCACAGGAGGGGGACAGAGGTGGACAGGTGGGTCGGGGTGCCCGGCACAGCGGGATAGGGGGACCCGCCGGGCTCCTCCTCTTGCATAATTGAGGAAGTTGGCATTCTCGTTGCTTAGGAGCTCCAGGCCAGCCAGGGGAAGCCCCAGCAGTCCTGGTGGGAAGGGCTGGTGGCTGTCCTGTGCCTGCAGCACCTCTTGCCTTGCAGAGCCCCTTGAAGCGGCCACTGCTGCGGGGCCCCCACCCCTGGATGCCCCCCAGCTGGCTTGCGGGTACGGTGCCCTGGGGCAGGAGACACCTGCAAGCAGACCCAGGGTGGGGGCGGGGGGGCGCTGCCGCCGCAGGTGAGGCTAGGGCAGCTCACCTTCATGCAGGGCCAGGAGCAGGGCCAGGGCGATGGAGCACCAGGCGGTGGGCATGGCGACCATAGTGGCGGTGGAGCGCACAGGCTGGACCAGAGCAGGGAGCGTGCCCGTTGCCAGCGTCTTGCTGCCAGGCAGAGCCGATAGCTCATTGCCTCAGTGCCCTGGCTGCTTCTTATAACACCAGGCACAGCCCCGCCTCTGCCCGACCAGCCCTGCCCTGCCGCACAGGAGAGCCAGGGACACCGCCTCCTCCCCAGGCGCCTGGCCCGCCCCGGCCTCCGCGGTTGGAGGGGAGGGGGGCAGGGGAGGGCGGAGGCGGGAGGGAAGGCCCCGCTCCTCCCTCTGTGCCTGGAGCACCTCCTGGAGTACTGAAGCGCCCCTGCGGCCCCCAGGGACCTCTCCCAGTCCTGCTGGGCTTCCTCAAGTTATCCCCAAAGTGCTCCGAGTCCCCTTCCTCATTCTCTGTGTGGCTGTCCCATGGGTCTTGCCCAGAGCTAAGAGTTGGGGAGGGGAGGCCCATGAGCAGAACCCTCTCTCTCCTTGGAAGGCACCCTGCCGTCCTGCCTGCTTACTGCCAACAAGGCTGAGGATGCCCTTTCTATTGTGTGGGAGGGGAAAGGGGGTACTCAAGGCTGTGTGGCCTTGGGCAAGTCAGAGCCCTCTCTGGGCCTGCTTTCCTCAGTGAAGGACACAACCCACCCCTGGCCTCTGACCAGCCTAGAGCTGTCTCATCCTTACCTCACCCAGGAAGTGCCCCTCTTCCCTCCTTCCCCATCCCTCCTCCCAGGGCCTGGGGATGGGAGTTCTGGCTCCTTTTCAGGCTCCTATTGCCCCTGTGGGCACACATATAAAGCACTCCTTGAAAGGTCTCCCACCTTGGACATGGCAGGGTGCTTGGTTCCCCTCGGTGGGTACTCTCTTCACAAAAGGCAAGGCAGGGGCGTCTGGGTGGCTCAGGTCATGATCTTACAGTTTGTGAGTTCGAGCCCTGCGTCAGGCTCGCTGCTGTCAGCGCAGAGCCTGCTTGGGATCCTCTGTCCCCTTCTTTCTGACCCTCTGCTCACACTCTCTCTTTCAAAAATAAATCAATAAACATTAAAAAAAAAAAAGGCTAGGCAATGGGGGGTGTGCCCCGGGGGCGAGCATTCTGCTTCTCAGAAGCCAGGTCTTGCTGGAGACAGAGTGGGGATGCGCCCGTGCTGAGCTAAGCAGCTGGTGGAACTGGCAGTCGTCCTCTGTTCCTGGCCCGGCCTGGCTCAGAGTCCACCTCCTGCAATGTCTTCCAGGGACCCTGTCTCCAGGCACAACAGGAAAAGCCTTCTCATTTCTCGGAACTCCCAGAGCCTTACTCTCCAGCCTGCCTGACTCATGACTTTGGGCTTATCTCTCCAGCAATCTTGAGGTCCAGAACTCCAGAGAACGCGGGGCCCGGGAGCCTGCCTGGTACACAGTAGGAGCCCTCTGAGCGAGTGCTCTCTGAGGGAGGGGGGAGTGAATGAATACATGCCTGGCTTTGAACCCGCGGAAATTTACGTCCCCAGGAACCCAGGCTGCTCAATTTTTAGTTCTTGTGTTCAGCAGCAGTTTTGTCGTTAGATGTCCATGAAGGGGGCAATAGATGACCACAGAGAAACAGGTGAGCTGGCTTCTTCCTAGGGCAAGACCAGAGCACAAACGTGTGTCTGCGTGTGCCTGTGCCATCCTGGTGCAGAGGGACGGGACCTGAGGACGGAGACAGCCGTTGGAGTTACCTTCCTTCCCCCAGGCTGGATCAGGTTGCAATGGAAGCAGGAATAAACATTTCTGAGCACCTACTGCGTGCTCAGAGCCTTTTCAACTCCTCTCCATTGTGGCCCTGGGAGGCGGCTGTGACCATCCGGGATCAGCTCCCCTACTGTCCAAGCCGAAATGAAGGCTCAGAGAAGAGCCCTGCCTGGTCCAGTCTGCACAGCGCTGGCACAGGGACTCAGGTCTCAGATCTTGGTCTCCCGGTCTCTCCAGCAAAAAACAGAGACTCCCCACGCAGTGCTCACTGCCCTCCCCTGCAAGGTGCCTCTCTAAGAATTTAGAAGAGTATTTCTGGAATGAGGTGAGCAATACTCCTAGTCATTTCTATTAGCCTCCGAGAGAATATAAATACGAAATCAAGCAGGGTTCGGGTGGGGGCAGGGGGTGGATAGAGAATTCAAACTACTGAACCATGAAGAGAAGAAAGGAGAACAAGCAGGTCAGCAGGGAGCAGGAGGGGGTCTGGGTGGTGAGGAAAACAAACAGGGAATCAGATAAAGACAGGTAGGGAGAGAGGGAGGACAAGGAAGCAGAGCCTAGCGCGAGAGAAAGAACTCGGATTTGAGAAAGTAAAAGAGAAAGACCATTTGGAAGGAGAGTGAAGGTTCCACTGCGTCTAATCTTTACACAAACGCAAAGTGCTGCTCAGGACAATAGGGAACCAGAGGCTCTGAGTCTGGGAAACATAATAGAAGAATTAAACGGACCAGGAGACAGGATCCGTCTCTGGTGTGAAAGGAGGAAGACGACAGGGCAGGGGCCACCGCCTGGGCCTCGTGGGGTCAGTGCAGGGAGCTGTGCCTGGCTCCAGTTCCTCTCCTGCCCTGAGCTGGGCAAACAGGGCTCCTGTGAAATGGAGAGGGCAGGCCCGGAACCTGAGCGAGCTCAGATCCTAGGGGGTGAAAGCGTTCCCGGAACAGCGCTACCCCACCGGCAAGAGTTGGTTTCCAGGTAGAGAAAATTAAGCTGAGTTAAAAATAACCCCAGCCCCAGCCCCAGCCCCAGCCCCAGCCCCATAGCTCTCTAGCCTGGCCCCGACCATCACCTCTGCCCCTCCCAGCTGGCCTGGCTGCATGGCCCCCAGCCCCACTGCTCTGGTCAGCTGCTGCTGCACTGCCCCAACCCGATCTGGCCCTGTTCCCTGCCTGGGCTGGTAAAGCTGCAGGTCTGGGGACAGGGATTCACTGAAGGTCCCCCCCCCCCATCAGGATTTGGAGGGAATCATTTTGTGCACAAAATAATTTGCTCCACTCATGCTTGGTCCCGGTCCAATCCAAGGAGAGATTTGTGGGGAGGGCAGGTTGGCAGAAGAGAGAAGTTGAGGCATATTTCTGGGTGAGATGCTGTGCCAGAAACTGCCCTCTAGAAATCCTCTCCAGCGTCCACTCCCATTTGCTGGATGAGATAATTGAGGTCCAAGAGGAGCAGCAACTTGCTCGAGACAGTGATGGGGCTGGACATGTTCTCGTGGCTACTCTTCCAGCCCCAGTCTTTCCAGTACACCTGTGAAGCTGCCAGGGGTCCAAGTTGAGCCCCTGGGTCTGTTTGGGAAGGGCTGCTAGGAAGGACCCAGTGGCAGGAGGGCCGGGGCCCTGGGCTAGAGCTAGGCCACCTTCCCGTGCACCCTCAATGGCCCCCAAAGCCCCCTCTAGACCCTCTGGACTAAGAGCAAATATCTTCGGCTGTCCAGCAGCTGAGGCCACCGTGTGGGATAGAGGATACACAGGGGTGAGGATTAAATGTCTGGCGATGTTGTCCAACAGGGAGGCCACGGGCTGCAGCAGGTGCCTGGTGCGTTTGCAGGAACAACAAGCTTCTTCCCAGCTCTGCTATGCATCCCGTGTGGCCTTGGGCAAGTCCTGCCCCTTCCTTGGCTTCCCTGGGAAGTGTTTCTGCCTTCTGAGAGGGGTGCTCTCAGCTCTGACAGCCTATGGCATTCAGAACCAACCTGACCAGAGTTTAGAGCTCCCCAGATAGCCCTGTCACCTCTTGCCACCAGCGTGAGACCCCCTGGTCCCTCCCCTCCAGAAAACCAGTTGCTTCCCTGTGGCCACCACCCTGGCCCCACCAGGTTTCAGGAAGTTCTGTGTGCGGCCCCGGTGGAAGAGACACAGTGTCTCATTTGCAGGCACACACCGTGCAGGCAGTTTAGCAGAGCGAGCCGCTGGGAAGATGGGGCTGGCCAGGGGGAGATGTCTGGAGCCTGCAGGGGATGAGGGGTTGGGGAGGGTTTGGCTCTGGAGCCAGCCCGGGGTGGGGATCTAGGGACTGAGGAGGTTCAGACATTCCCATCATGATTTGCCCCCAAGGCTGCAGGGCAGGGCTGCCCCCATTCAGGCCTGGGGCCACTCAGCCTCGGGGCCTCTTTCTGGTGGGTGGTCTGGGCCGCCTGCCATGGGCCACAGTGAACCCCGAGCTAGCAGGGCTGGCCACCACCCACACCATCGTCCCCATGCTGGGTCTCTGCAAGGGCAGTCTCGGCCTTGCAGGACCAGCTCGCCTGGTGTCCACGGCTTCCCTGGGAGGACATCCCCTTCCTCGATCTCCTCCTCCTTCTGCCTCAGCCCGTTTGGAGAGATTTATATCTCCCACATAAACCCTACTTTTAAAGGAATAACTCATGTGCCGTGTTTGTTATTAATCTAGGGGTAATCAGGACAGGGTCAGCGAGGCCTGCGGAACCTGCTGGAATTTCAGCCGAAAGCAGTTATTGTTCAGTCAAGGCACCCTCGTCAAGAGGCCCTGTGAGTCCTGACGAACTTTGTGAAATGAGAAAACCAACTCAGGGACTCAGCATCCAGGATGAAAATCTCTGGACTCAAAGTTTCTGAGTTACCTCCAAAGCGCAAAGGGCCCCATTCCCCACTTAGCCTTTTAGGGGTGTGGGGTAAACACACACTTGCTGAGTATTTAGTGAATTCCAAGCACCGCGCTAGCTGATTTACATGCATTATCTCCATTAACTGTCACACCATACCTAAGAGGTGGGTACCGCAATTAGTCCCTATTTTGTAAATGAGGAAACTGAGGCTCAGGACTTGCCTAATGTCAGACAGCTAGAAAGTGGCAGAGCCAAGGTTACCAAATGGGTCTGTGTAACTTCAGAACCTTCACTCTGGACCCTGTGTGCCCTCCACGTGCTTTTCTGGCTTCCAGGACCATAGGGAACTTTCCTGTGGCACCTTTTCTTCGGAGGTCAGCCTCCCTGGGAAGGCAGAGCCCTGTGCAGACTGGGAGAGTGGGAACCCCCAGAGCAGAAGTAGCCTCCCACCTGG